CAGCACATTTGGAAGCGTCTGTGTTTGTACAAATAACGAAAAAAGGTAGTTGCGTTGAAAAATCGAATGTTTCTCATTCGTTTAAAAAATGAGTTTTTTTAACATTTTTCGAGATTTTTGTAAGTATGTTTTTTGAATCTTTGGTTTCGGAAAAGTGACTTAACAACTTTTCAACACCCACAGGTTTGTAGAGCTCGACGAGCTCTATCGAACTATGTAAAGATGTTCAAGAAAAAATGTTTATTCTGCATTGGAATGACTGGCGTCTTATCTTTCTATCCCAAAAAAGTGTACAATTTCTAAAACTTTCTTAAGTTCGACACTAAAATGCTTTGATAAAACTTACTATTTAGCATCGATAAATCCCGTTTTCGACGAGCTTTCATCTGGTATAAAATTCATTACTTACCATATTCGCAATTATAGCGTTACCCCCTGGAAAAACATTTTTACGTACCCTGTATGGTATACTATGACTGGACATCAACTAAGTAGTTGTGATATAATCACTGCAAAATTTCTCTGCATAGACTGTCAACGTAAATCTAAGGAACGTTGTGGAAGTATGGACATTACTGCAGAATTGATTAATCATGCTGATTACAGGCGTTGCATTTAAAAACAGAAAAAACGATATGCTTATGGAAGTTTTTGATACGGCTTGTGATTGGGGTATGTAATAAATTAAATTCCACCCTGTCTATAGATATGCAGTTTTCATCGCGTTAAATACATTAGTTGCGCTAGAGGATACTGGCTTCAAAACAAATGTTAAAAGCATGCAAAATAATATACGACAGGCGTGAAACTATAAATCATCTATGTATTGATCTTCGTCTCGTGAATACTGACCGTTTTTTAACAAAAACTTGGAACGGTAGGAAAATTATAAAGAATATATTCTTTATAATTTTCTTATTGAGCAAACAGTTGTGTATACACAACTTTCTGCTGTCTGCTGACTTTTTTAAATAGATAACAACTGCGCCTTTTTGGGACGGTGGAATCCGCATCCGATTTTCCACAAGATTTCTTAAATCCCAGGATTTAAAAAGACTTCCGAGTTTAGCTTATATTAGGCGCGATAAAGAGCTCTCTGTATAATCTCCATCAAAAACCAGTATCATGAAGAGGGAGACGTCTGATTATCGTTATCAGCATCAATGCTTGTAATAACCATAATCAGTACTATATACAACACGGTCTTTTGTGAAAAGTCGAGAAAAAATTTCGGATTTTACTTGGGTGAATAGGATAAGGGCTTAAAGTATTCGAAGTTACATTTCGAAGAACTAATTGATAGGAATTACTAAGAACATCATTCGAAGTCGTTAACATCGAAAACATTCGAAATTGTTGAACGACGACTTTTGGTTCCGTCCACCATCTTTGTCTTCGAAACCTCCTTCAAAAGTGTTTCTACGTTTTCTCGTTGTAAAATTGTTAGCATTTTACAGAAGCGTACTCAATATTTTAGCTATTTTATAACATTTTGGAACGTCGACAGGTTGAAGTCCTACGGCCTACTGGAAGTGATGTACCTTCAGTCTTCCAAAAACAAGTTTGTCATTCTCTGGGACGCTAGATATTATATACCTACCCATGCACGTTTATAATCCAAAGTGTCCTCGACGCAACACTGCAAACTGGAGTCCTTCATCTCTTATGATACGGGAGAGAAAACATTTTTCCCAGCAGTTCCGGTGTTGGATACTGTTGCTTTTAAGTAATGTCAAAAATGGATGGATAAATGAGCTGTTGACCATCCTGAATCTTGTCGAAGTGTTCGTTTTGGAAGAAAAATGAAAGAACAGTTTGTACAGTCGCTTTCAACAAAAGAAGACATTTTATGCTATGCACGTAGTGGAATAGAAAGTTCATAACTCTGTTAATATCAGACCAAATCACTTGACACTTTTAGAATACGTTCTATTTTAGATTCTTGAGATAGTAAAATGGGTAAAACTGAAAAGATATGCTCTAAGTTGATGATATTTAGATGGGCCTCTGGAAAATAATTTTATTACTAAAAAGTGCTTTAGAATTTTCCTACCATCGATATCCGGAAGACAAAATCTACTCCTGTTCTAGAAAGTCCAGGTGATTTGGTTTGATTTTTGGTGAATTATAAGCTCTTTATTCCACTACATCCACCGCATAAAATGCCTTCCTTTGTTGAGAGCGACTGTACAGACTGTTCTTTCATTCTACTTTTAAAACGAACACTTCAACAAGATTCAGAACAACAGCTGGTCAATAAGCCAGTCAACAACTCTATTATCCATTCATTTTTGAAATTACGTAAACGCAACAGGATCGGATACCGGAATTGCTTTCTCTCTCATATCATGAGCAGTGAAAGGCTTCAGATTGTTTTTGAAGATATTGGCATCCGTGGAGTACTAACAGCAAGCTTTAGTTTAACAGGGAGAAACGGCAGATCCGCGGATCCTGGATTCCGCGTGGATCCGCCACGATCCCCACGGATCCGTCTTAATATTCTTCCGCTAAAACAGAACAATCCTGTTTCCAAAACAGAACAGTCCGGGTCACGAAACATAACACTTCGGTTCTTTTATTAGGAAAATTTCCCGGATAACAGGACAATTGTGTTCTGTTCTGTGAATTCTTTTCCCACAGACAGAACGTTTTTGTTTTGCTTGTGGAAATAGAGATTTCTGGGACAGTTCAGTTCAATAAAATTGTATTCGCGTAGATCCACTTGTATCCGTATGGATCCCGAATCCGCTTTTCCCCCTTGACTAACAGACTGATACATACTATTATTTTGAAAATGAGTAGAGTACAATCATACAAGTATTTACTTTTATGCGGCTGTAACTTGTAGATTCAGTGATTTTAATTTTCCTGTCAACTAACTATGCAAAGATTATGACATCGCTCACCATTAATAACACAAGTGGGGTGTTTTTGTTTGATTGAGATACAGCCATTCAAATTGCACTTTACTGACTCATTAGAGGGAAACGGTAATTCCAAAAGTCTAGGTGGTGGTTGGATTTCTTTGACATGAATAATAGGAAAACCATCGCCAACTCTCATATCTATCACTTGAAAGTAGAAGTCGGGAAGTAACAATATCTCATTTTCATCTGCAAACTGTGAGTGTTGTGTGATTAGTCTACCATTTTCGCATTCAATACAGAACAATGTTCGAGAGCCAGATTTTCCAAGGAAGAAATCGGCTACTGTAATTGATTCTGTACAGCTACTGAAACCGCACCATGCACATCTGTCACCTGGTTTATACAGTGTACTTAAGTCCAAGTTAGTTCCACGCCAAACTATCTTTTTGACTGATGGTAGTTTGTATAATGCCGTTAGAAGTAGTTTTAGGTAAGGAATCCAAGGGTGCAGTAATTCTGCTCTGACTTTCGAACGTAATATTCCATTAAGGTGTTGCGAAAGATTTTGCATTGTATATAAACGAATAGCAGCAGATTCATCTAGTGTCAAGTTATCGTGAAGATGCTGACATTTTTTTTTCGATATCGAAACACTTGGTAATACGTCGATCATAGGTTTTAGGGATTCAACAGCCATTTCCAGCGACATCAACGGTACATTTTCACCACCTCTTATTGGCTCCAATTGTATCATTGGTTCATCCCCAATATCAATGTAACGTAATCTTGGGTCAGGATCCATTTGAGCTGCAAATGAGGTTGTTGGGGTTGGTTGAGAAGTGGTAGTAATGATAACGATAATAATACTTTCTTTAAAACTCACATAAATAGATAAAATGCATCTTTTCTTTAAGAGTTTCCAAAACAACTATATGCAAATTCGCATAGTAAAACAGGGTTTTTTCATGCTGTTAAAATGAGCCTCAACTTCTAAAAAAAGAGAAAACTCCGCTAAAGATAAAAGTACATATCATGTACCAATTACAAACTCGAAGCACATGACTGAATCCTTTGAGGACTATGGATAGTTTATTTTGGCAATTATATCTCGTGATAATCAGGTTATTATTTTAGGTGATCTTAATGCTAAGTATAACTCCATAGAATTAAAACAATAGGCAAATTCCCCCTCGTTCATTCATGCATTTACTCATAATACCATAATTAGAAACTCCTGTACCGATAATTCTGGTCTATATCATTCGTTCGGTGAATCGGAATTTCGTCACCTGATTCCAGAAGAATTTCGGCAGTTGTCGAGATTCTGTCGGAATTACGACAATATTGGCAAATTCCCCCTAGAAATTATTTGTCTGCCTTCAAGCTCAAACTTAGGACTCAGTTGTTGAAATTCTAGTGAAAGTTTGACAATATAGGAATTTCGACAATGGTCGAAGGTCTTTTGGAATTTCGATATTGCCGAAATCAGGTGGCGAAATTCCGGTTGTCGAAATTCCAGTAATCCATTCGTTCCACATCTTAACTCGTAAGAGACCAATTCATCACACATTATCGCCTAGTTTTCTCGTTCAAACGTTCTACTCCCACCATGATTCGCTCATGACGTTCAAACTGTGACTTGAATGGATTTTGTGTTGGTATTCATAACATTTATCAGGAATTTTTCTCTTTTAAAGGTTTCCACCTAAATGCCTCTGAGTGGATTCAAAATGTTTATTCATATTTTTCAATCTATGTCCTATTGACAATTATAGACAGTACGAAACAGGTTAAAAAGAAAACTTGGAAATATATGCAATGTCTAATACGCAAATGTGATGCATCTTTGCATAGACTGACTTTAGCACGCAGGACGTCAAAGCCATTCTTCTCGTCGACTAAACAAATTTCGTAAGTTACACAATAGGATAATAAGTACTAATCATGCGAAAATAGCTAACACATGGAAGTCCATTATGTTACCAAACCATAGAAAGTTTTTGTCAGAAATCAATTACTCTCGGAAAGACCACTCACAATTACATTACAGTGTTCCGAAAAAATTAACCATACAGGCGTTATATGTCCAACAGAGCCTGTGTCCTTAGTTACAGATGAGCGATTTACAACTCGTTTGCAGTTGTTGTGCGCAAAAAGGCAACGATCTTATCTTGTAGAGAATTATTTTCTCGATAAGCCTGCGTCCTCCAAGAAAATTTTTCTTTCCATTTCGGGTAGAAAAACAATCAATTAAAATGAGATCTTCAGTTAAAGATTTTAAGAAATTTTTCGCCAAATAAGAATACCTAAAACATTTTCCTCAAATGCATCTGATGTATGCAGTTTCTTTCCTCTATCGAATGGCGTATTTGGATTAGATTTTTATTTAGTCTTAGACTGAAACATTCAATTTTTTTAAGTTCTGAGAGGATATTTCTCGATTTTTACTTTGGAGGTCTCGAAAGGTTTTTTCAATCATTTCTTTGTCAACGTGTAGCGCATTAAATTCTCTTTCTAATGGTACAAAAATAGAAAGTTCATCTATTCTAGAAGTATCTAGAAAGTTAGAGACAAGCAAGTGTATGGTTAATTATTCGGTTCTCAAAACATGACTAATTTTAAAAAAATTCTTTTGAATATCAAGAACCCAATTTCAAAACGTTTCCCCAACGTATTCCCAACGTATTCCCAAATATAATGTAAACTCTATTCTCTCTATCGATAAAACAATAATTTCTTTAGTAACTTCCTTCTGTGACAAAATGCATTCGCCAATTTTTTCTTTTACTGTATCGTCAATTTTTGAGACAATGCAGGCATTGTGGTGACCCGTGATAGTAACCATAAAGTAGATTTATACAAAACTCCTTTTTTACACTCTTTTCACATAGAAAGTTCTTGCAAAGAGTCTGCTACTAATCTTTCGTCTCTTGCTAAATAGAACAGAAAATTATCGTTCAATAAGCTTATTACCTAATGTCAGCAAAATTTTCGAACGTATTATTTATCTGTAATAAATGGAACATCGTAGCAGAAACGACTTTTTGAATAAGGCTCAATTCGGCTTTCTATTTCCTTCTTCGACGGTCTCGTGCTAGTTTTCCTGCTTTGAAAGCTGATCTACACCAAAACTCGCTGTCATTGATAAGTTTACGTGAGTGTGCAGATACATGGAATATTCAGCATTAGTTCCGAGATTTGGTGTTATTTATTACTCTCAAACAGAATTCTTGTAATAAAATCTCAGCGATAACAAACACTCTTACCCTCAGTCTTGATCTACTTCTATTAAATGTGACGCTTTCGAAAAAAGATTTTTTTCTATATATCATGCGGTCATAAACTATATCATACACTTTTACAGAAGAACAATAACATGTTTCGTTTTTTCCTTTTATTTCTCTCGCTTTTTGCTGTCTTCCTTCAAATAAATGTTCTACTATTCCTATCAAGAAATATTATTTAACTGTCGAACAGATAAGAGGTATATTTTGAGTTTATTGAAAGATAATTTATATACCTTTTGTGACACCACATATCACCGAGTCAGAAAATCGATTACGATTTTCTATAAATAAATCCCAACATTCTTGAAATTCGACAGCAACTTTCTAAATAGTGGGAAAATCGAATTGAATTTTCTAAGAAGACGAATCAGCCATTTTTTTCTTGCTTCTTTCACATCTATCAAAGCCTTCATTGCAACAAGTTATTCTGTAACAGATCCCTGCTCCTTTTAGTATTTAACATCAGAAATGTTGGTAGGTTCGGAACGTTGTTCTCTCAGTTTTTACAAATCAGCATATTCTTCGAGAAGTTTTTATTGTGGTATGACATCTAGAGATCACAAAGAGGTACTGAAAAGATTCTTGGATTAGACCTGGTTAAGACAAGTCGAGTTTCATCGTAACTTTCTGAAAATCCTAAATCGATTCGCTCTTGCTAATATTCCTCATTTTTGTGTCTGAATTTAGCATCTTCCAAAAATGTGATTGGTTCTATTAACTCAAAGACATGATCCTAAGAATTCACATTTATTTTCTTTATTTTTTAAATAAAACAACACTCGTTCAACACGATCGATTTCGACTTTAATTTTCATTATTAAAAGATCCATATTGTCAGCCAATAAGCTGAAATAATACATCCCACTCAACTTCGAAATTCCATAGTATTTAATAACGGTGAAAAAGTTTATATTCAGCCATTTTCACTTTGCAAGTCTCGGATTATCAGCATTCTTACTATAATTGTTCTTCCTCATCACCTAGAAAATCAGACATTCACAGTAGAAAATAATGCGAGTTATGAATTTCCGACAAGTTATATGAAATCTCTAAGGATTTTGTATAAATAATTCCCAATAATGTAGAAAATCAATGTCGATTTTCCACGTCGTTGGAAACTCGATTTTCTATAATCTGGAAAATTCTGAGGATTTCATATATGGACTTTTTGAAAATCGCCGAGCAGTTTCTATAAATAATTCTCTACTTTACAGTGTAAGAATGATGTAATGTTCAAATTCTAAAGAAAGTTAATGGTTTCTGCTACGTGATACGGAAAAACAAAAAGAAGTTATGGTAAGTAGCTTAATTACCTAGTTCCTGCAAAAATGATTCTGTTGAATTATACGCATAGACCGATTTAATGCAGCAAATTCCAAAACATTGGATAACAAATTAGTAACGTAATTAACTGCTGATTCAGATACAAAGTAGCGCCTTTCTCACGCAGGTTAGCCCAGAACTTGATTCAAAACTTGGAAGTTTTCGTGAGAGATCTTAGTCATCCCTCACGTACCCCAGACGTTGCTCGTTTTTTAGACTGACATGAAAACACTTTAAATTTTGGTATATCAATCAAAAGGCCTTTTTTCTTACAAAATCCATTTACAATACCCAAAGGACTTACTAACCGCGAGAAAATCATTTTAAGTTTCAACTAAATCCTTGCGTGATGCGCAAACTTGTTCCTAAACCGATAAAGTTTTCGTATCAGGGTTTACTAATCCAAAAGGCGTCCTACAAATTCCTTTCGATTTAAAGGCCAGCGACTATTGTATTACTGATTTTAAGTATTCACATACCTCCTCCAGTGAATGGTGCATGTTTTGTCTTGTGCGCAGTTCTTCTCTTAAGAGCCGAAATGTGTGAAATATGTTAATTGAACTCATTCGTTTGCTCAATAGATAATATAGTATCAGTCTGTGCACTGAAAGTAGTCTAGTTCAATACAATAGAAGAATACCCGCGATAGCTCAGTTGGTAGAGCGGAGGACTGTAGATGCAACTAGCAAATGTAATCCTTAGGTCACTGGTTCGACTCCGGTTCGCGGGATTTCTTTTTCTTTTTTTTCTAAATTTGCGTGATACGAGCTAGAATGCATAGTAGACAGAATTATTTTGCAACTCATTCTTCACATGCGAAGTAATTCTATCTACTACCCAGGTCGTTCATTCCTGACTCAGGATCCGGTCGGATCCACCCGGATCCCTCCTGATGTTCCTGCCTTCTCACCATCGTTATCATCAGTGCCACCAGTTCTAGCCACAGGCAGTTACGCTGCAGCTTTAAAGCGACCGCAACAATCGACAACGACAGATAGTCATCATGTTATGATTATAGCAGTATAAGCAGCCTTTGATATCTTCGAAGACCTTTTCGATACTTCATTACAATATTCAATACTTTTATTCTAATCAGTGTAAGTTGGTTGAGATGGTTAATCAACTTTCTCCTTCTATCATCTCTCTTAACGAATTAGGTACTGGCGTTCCCATAAAGATAATTGAAAAATTT